GGTTCAGGAGGGGGCTCCAGACTGGGACTAAGGAGTTTGGAGTGGGCTCATGAGTAGAGCGGGGGTGGAAGTGCACAGCAGGACCAATTGCCTAAGAAGGACTTGAAAGATTTACACAGAAATCAATACACAGGCAGTGGTGGAGAGAGACTGAATGAAGATTAAACTCATGGTCTGTAGAAGGACACTTCAAAAAATACACGGAGGGAGGGGGCTCCAGACTGGGACTAAGGAGTTTGGAGTGGGCTCATGAGTAGAGCGGGGGTGGAAGTGCACAGCAGGACCAATTGCCTAAGAAGGACTTGAAAGATTTACACAGAAATCAATACACAGGCAGTGGTGGAGAGAGACTGAATGAAGATTAAACTCATGGTCTGTAGAAGGACACTTCAAAAAATACACGGAGTGCCTCATTCTGAGTGCATCAGAGCAGTCCTTAAGACTTAACTGCATTTGAAACAAAACTAACAGAACTGCCCCCCAAACCGCAGAATGTGTTCTAAAGAGGAAGAGATGGTGGAGCATGTGTTGAACACATGCAGGAGCCTGTCTGGGAGGGAATATATGAACACACACAATGAAATCCCCAATGGTATGTCTAAACTGCAGTTAAAAATCCCACAGCTAACTGGACCAGCTAACTGGGGCTCCTGGACTGTCGAATTGAGGTATAGACATTTGTGGAACCAGGGCTCTAGGAACCCTATGAACTGGGAAGGTCTCTGAGCTGTGGCAGCAGCCCAGCCTGAATCTCTAAACTGCATTTAAAGTGCCGTTAGACAATCAGCTGGCTCTGGCCAGCCATGGGTTTTCAATTGCAGTGTAGAGAGGTCCCAAGTGTAGGCACTGGTGCCTCTGCAGCAAGCATGGACTCAAACACACTTTGTGGTATTAAGGGCACAATTAAAAATGCTCTAGATCAGGGCCCAGCAACCTTTTCAAACCAAAGAGCCAAACAACATCAAAATTCAGAACAAGTGGTCAACAAAGAGCCGTATAAAAATACCCATTTGCATGACTGAAAATATACAACTTAATATTATTGATAATTGACATTATGATTAAAAATAGCATAAATGAAACATTGTACTCACAGACTTTTGCTGCTGCTGGGGGTGCAGTTTGTGGATGTGGGGGTACAGGAGTCAGGGTTGGAGTGTATGAGAGGCTCGGGTTAGAGTGTGTGGGAGGTGCAAAAGGCAGGGCAGGGCACTGGGAGGGTGGGAAGTAGAATATGTGGTGGGAGCCCTGGGGCTAGATTACCTTACTTGGCTGGAGCTGGGCTGCTGCACCCGGACAGCAATGGCTGGATGAAGGGCTGGGCCGTGATTGCCACAGCTGGATTGTGGCCTCCCCTTCTATCCACTCTGCAGAAGGAGGGCAGGGGTGGGATGTCGACATCCTTTCCTGCAGCCAGATGGGGGCCGGACTGTGTGGCCTGCCCCAGGACTGGAGCCGGGGACAGGACGCTGCAGCCAGATGTGGGCTGGGCTTCGATTGGGGCCTTGTTGGCCAGGCTGCTGCAGCCAGACCCCAAGCCAGGCCACCGCGGTTGGGCTGTTGCAGCAGTTGCGGGAGCGCCAGGGCTGGATCACGGAATCTGCCCCAGGAGCATGGCAGCTGGAGACAGACCACGGTAATAAGATGGGGACTGGGGCCAGGCCACTGCAGCCAGACGGAGGCATCTGCCACCACCAGCCCGTCACTCTCTGGCTAGGAGCTCGCATGTGTCCCCTACAGCATGCCCCAGACGGCCCTTTAAACAAGCAGAGTACTCCAGCCAGCTCTTGCTGCAGCATAGCCGGGTCTCACCAGGGCACAGCACCTTACTTTCACCTCTGGTTAAAGATGAAATAGTCCAAAAAAGACCACCCTGACATGAGTAATTGCACATTTTAAAAATTTTGAATTCATTTTTCATTTTAATGTAAAAAGTTGCATGTATTTGGGGAATGATAAAAGAGCCATATTTGGTTCTGTGTTGAGCCATATTTGGCTCAAGAGTCATAGGTTGCTGACCCCTGTGCTAGATAATAAACAGGCTAAATTTTTATGGGATTCAAGTATTTGCCACAGACAAATGGTTCAGGCAAACAGGTTGGACATAACTGTTGGAGAAAAGACATCTGTGACAATGTTAATAGATATTGTTGTACTAGCTTGTTGAAATACAAAAACAGAAACAAAAAGAGAAGATAGCAAAGTATGAAGAACTTTGCCATGAAGTGGAACAAGTATGAATAACTAAAACAAGGATGATTATAGAAGCACCTTGAGCCTCCCTAAAGATATGAATGAGCAATTAGAGAACATAAAAGAAATGCAAGACCTCATGATCAATGACCTCCAGTGGAGTATACGCCAAGGCTGTGTGAGAATTTTAAGGACAGTCAAAGGAGGAGGAGAGCATTTGAGCACCTGTGATGCAGGAATTGGGTGGATGGTTTAACAAAACTCCTGACTAATCACTTTGTGGTTAAGATTTATTGGTGACTCATGGGACAAATATTAGACAGCAGCATTTCTCTTTTGATGTTTACCTATCTTGGATGTTGTTAAGGCTATTTGTTTAAAAACAACCCCTTGGTGAGTTAATATGGAGGGATAACAATAAAGTTAATTCTGTATTTCAGTGTTTTATTTAAATACCACCTGCCACCTTCCCAGCACTCACTGAGAAGCCAAGGGGGCGCATTCAACACTGAAATAAGTTTTAACTAATGACCTAAAGAAATTCCTCTCCCCCTCCCCTACCACTCATCAAATACAGCACTTCCTGTTTAGCTGACGATATCACAGAATGTCATTTTGTGACATCACAGATACCATAGGAATCTCAGCAAGCTGTGGCATTTTTAGCTTCACACAATCCTGAGATGAAAGGTTTGGAAAGAGGCTCAGAAGGTTTTTTAACTTTCAGAGGATCAAGTCATGGCCAAGGCAGGCTCCTCAAGGTAAATTTTGCCAATTCTGCTTTGAATTTGGGTATGTCTGCACTGCACAGCTATTTCGGGATACCCGAAGGTATCCTGACATAGCTGCCCTACATCTACACAAGCTGCCAGTTATTTAAAAATATTTTTCAAAATATTTCGCCATCCCAGTGTTATTTCGCCATCCCAGTAAACCTCATTGCACAAGGGATACGAGATGGTTCAAAATAGCATGTTATTTTGAAATTTGGCACTGTGCAGACATACCAAATTTCAAAATAAACTATTTTGAAATAGTTTCTAAATAAGATATGCAGTTTGCGCAGTACACATTGCGTATCTTATTTTGAGTTTAGGGTGCTGTAGATACACCCTTAGATATGGGCAAGATTTTGATTCTGAGTTGGCCCTTGTATGCTGCTCAGGCCATGAAAAAGAGCCTGCTTCTGACAGTAAATGACCAGTTTGAGGATTCCTGATGGTGGCTGGGAATATCAGAAAGAGGACTGGCAAAACTGATAACAAGGAGAGATGTGCTCATTGCCAAATTCAGAGCTAGTGCAATTCCCATTAAGACAATGTAACTCTAAGATTCTTCCCAATCAGAGAGATCCACAGGCTTCCCCTCAGTTCTATACATCTGAATGTAAGAACATGCCATTTAAATGACAGGAAGCATGTATGCCACTAATGTTTAAAGTAACATTATGCAGCTATTTACACTCCTACTGTGTACAGTACAAAGCTATTTGTTAAGTAACTAGCAACAAAACCACAATTGTGACATTGAGGTTCATATAAAAAGGTCCTTTGTATCTGAGCACAATTCCTTATTATTTCAAATTAGGCAGCTAAATGTAGTACTGATTTGAAATAAGAATCTTCTGTTTTTAATACAATTTCATGTTATTTATTAGCTTGTATTTGTTTCCACTCTGCTCTATCAGCTGAGCGGACAGCCTAACTTCTCTCGAAGGAATTTAATTTTTAAAAAGTGTTTCCTCCCACATGTTCCCATTTCTTTTGTGTATTTTGGAAACATCACAATTTCTTCAAATATTAGAGTATATACTCTACATTCAGTTATGCTAAACTTTTGAATTGTCTTCAGAAAGAAGGTTAGATTGTGACATATTTAACTGTATACAGTTTGTTCCTGTGTATATAATAAACTGGAACTGAGTTGAAATTGAGTACTTATATGTGATTCTGCTTTCTGACCCACAGAAACATTTCAGATAATTTTTCATTCTCACAAATACTAGCTTAAAAAGCCCAACTAATCACAAAATGAAAAGAAACCTAAAGAGAATGTTGTTATTCCACATTTGAATGTAAAGGTATGTAACTCCACAATGAAGCTGTCTTCTCAAGGGATATATTACAAGCTACTGTGTTAAGCATCTGAACTATTATTCATCAGTCTTCCTATTTCCTAAGGTTTCCTATATGACTGAACAGCAACATGTTTAAAAAAAAACTGCACCTAATAACAGCCACACATGGAAATACAACTTGATTAATGAAAGATAAATGGTAGTAGAATCCAGCCTTGAAAGATGCGAAGTGCCTTTTATGAAATGGTGAACACTCCTAACCCTCACTGAAGTCAATGGGAGTGGGAAGGGAGGATGGTGCTGAGAAATTTACAGGATAAAGCTCATAATCCACAATATTTATCAGAGATAAAATTGAGTATCCCCAGAAATGGTGACATTTTCCCAGAATGCAGTTCTGGATTAGAGACTGTGTGGATTCTATTGTGAAACTCATTGTGTGAGTCAAGTGGATGGGCGGAGTAGTCTCATTTGCAGTTTAGTGTTCTATCCAGCCCAGATTTGCCTTTATGCTTGCTGCTCTCTGAAGCTTCATGAGCCTGAGGGGTTATGCACCTGTGAATGCAGTGCCGGACCAAGCCACACTTGTGCCGCGGGCAGTGGGTGCGCGGTGCATGCGTGGCCCCGCCCCCAGGCACACGGCACCCCTTACCACTTCAATCAGGTGCCCCCCCATTGGTTGGCACCCCAAGCATCTGCCCGGCTAGCCCCCCTCCCTTAATCTGGCCCTGTGTGAATGCTATTACCTAACCCAAGAGAACATATTACAAAAACAACAAATGGTCTGGTAGCACTTTATAGACTAACAAAATACACAGATGGTATCATGAGCTTTTGTGGGCACAGCCCACTTCTTCAGATGACCGGAGTTTTGAGTTTAGGATGTGCAGACCCAAAATAACTAGGGGAGAAGGGAAAGGAGAGGGGCAGGAAACAAGGAGCAGAGGGTATGAAAATATCAAAGGGAACATGTCTACCTGGAAAGCAGAAAGTAATCCCAAGAAACAACCTGATGTTGGGTTGGAAAGGAGCCAGCCTGGGATGGGCCTATTTATCAGCAAGACAAGGTGGGTGAAGTAATATCTTTTACTAGACCAGCTTTTGAGCTTACACTGAGCTCTTTTTCAGGTCTGGGAAACTGTACTCAACACGACATGCATGGAGACAGTTGGTTTTTATCACCACCATCAGGCAATTGAGATCACCATGCCTCTACCAGCCCAGCTGAGATGATTCTCAAGAGTCTCCCTGAAGTACCTCACAGGGATAGAGGCTGTACCCTGCATGGATTTCCATGAGTTCCAGAACCGCAGGGAGAGACGACCAGCACATGGAGTGATGGTAAGTTGCACTGAGTTTGTTTTTGTGAACTTTCCCTTTGCCTGAACAGCACTTCAACAAGCTTTCATTTCTTCTCTTTGCCCCCCGTTCATTGTCTCAAACCTTTCCCTTCCATAAGTCAGATTGCTGCACTAAAGAGCATCTGAAACATGCTGTACTTGTGTGGCTCAGGGAGAAGGAATGTGATTGCAACTGGTTAGAATCCTTTAATGACACTCATGTAAATTATTCAATCCAAACCAATCACTAAGTTATCACTGAATGTAACTGAAATGAATTTGAGTACAAGCAGAGAAATCAGAAGTGCAGGTTTGGAGATTTTAAGGTCACCTCTTTTTAAAATCTCACCAGAGGGAATAAAAAAGTCTACTTAAGTGATCAGTTTTCTCAGAGAGCTCTATGAGGAGGTGTAGCAGGATCTTGCTGTGCTGTTCCCAGGGAGGTACATATTTCAGAGAGAACCCAGAACTGTCACTCCTGGGGCCAGAGAGACAAATGTGTGTCAAAGAGGGGCTCCTATGCTGCTGAATTATAAATGTAATGATGTGGATGTCAGCTCCCTGCTGCAGCTCAGATGAAGCTAAGACACATGAGGGCAACTAAAGTGAAACAGTTGGTAGAGCCTGATGTAAGATTTTCAAACCTGCACTTATCAAAGAGGTAGGAACCAGGGTTCAGATTTGCTGTCCTCCTAGCCTCTCAATGAGATTTACTGACCTGCCTCTTACTGTAATTTTCTCTACCACGGAGCTTTCAATTTAGCAAATTTAGTCACAGACATATAGTTCAGACCTGTGAAATGCTGCTCAGACTCAACTCTCACTAAAGGCAATGGGTGCTTAGGGTGCTGCTAGCAAATTTACAGGCCCAAGCCCACAATTCACCATGGACAGATAACGCAACAAAGAAATCAAACTGATAAAAGAGAGAACACCGAGTCGACTAAAGTGGTGGAGGGACTCACCCAGTTACACACTTTCGTCTTTACAGAATAACAGGCTCCCAAAATGATGGCTGAATGATGAGACAGTACGCAGTACATGTGTTTTCAGTACCTATTCCTTTCACCTTGTGTTGTATGGAATATGATTTTTGTTAAAATAATGGACACTGAAAACTTCAACTCACCACTGTTCTTTGCAGCCAAAACCGGGAGCGGAGCAGTAGTTCACAGACTCGGTATCAGCTGGGTAACCAGGGCTACTTTTCAATCTTGAATAATTTTTTCGAACCATGTATCCCCTGAAAGCTAGAGAGATGTAAGTATGAATGAGCAGAAAGCTTCACAACCACTCCTAGACATAACTACCAGCTTCTCTTATACAAAACATGTATCCCCCAGCTGAGTTTTGTGTCCTTTGGCCCTTATTTAAATCAACAGAGACTAAAGGCAGCCAGCGCCTCACAGAACTGGGTCTATTGTTTGAAGCACTGGAATAATATGTTTTAGAGAGGTAGAATTGATAGTCTGTTTCACCCAGGGGTGACACATGGGGGCACAAGGAAGCACATGCCCCTCAAATGGTAGGGGCAAAGAGCCATCCAGCAGCCAGGGGAACTGTGGAGAGGAGGCGTTCCTGGCACCCGCAGCAGGAGTCAGGCCCTCCCTACCAGGGCTGACCTTACCATGAGGCGAACTGAGGCGGGCGCCTCAGGTGCCAGACTGTGGTGGCGGGGGGTGCACCAGTAGGACTCAGAGTGTAGAAAATGTGTGTCTGCTGCTGGTGCATATGTATTTTTTCTGCAGTACCATGAGAGGAGTAGAACAGGAAGAAGGCAGAATTGAAACCTTTCAAAGTTTTGGCCCAAGCAAGGGGGACGTCATTTGGGCTCCCCACCTCAGGTGCCAAAATGTTGTGGGCTGGCCCTGCTCCCTACACTCACTGGCAGCAGCAGAGGAAGTGAAGCAACATGGCCCCAGCTCACTCTGCTCAATCTGACACAACACTCAGGGGAGGAGCAGGCCAGTCCCCTGCGCTCACTAGCAGGACGTGAAGTGACGTGGCTGAGGGAGCGGTGCAAGCAGGGGCCATGTTGCTCCACTTCCCCAGCCGCTTCCGATGATTGGGGGAGGGCTGGACCCCTGCTCCCAGTGCTGGCCTTTGGCTCCAGTAGTTCCCTGGGCCACATCACTTGGGGGAGAGCGGTTGGGAGAAAGGTGGTGTGGGGAAAGCACGAGGGCAGGGAGAGGCGGGGTCTGGGGCAGAGGATGGGTCCCCCTGCCCTTCCGTGGCTTTGGGGGGGGAGGGTTGACATGTGGCCAGTAGCCCTCTCCCCTCATGCCTCCCTTACCAGTTGCCCCTTGTTTCAACAAAAATGAGGAGTCATGTATCACCTTAAAGACTAACCCCTTTATTTGGCCAAAAGCTTTTGTGGGATGGAACCCACTTTGTCAGATGCATAAAGTGAAGACTTCATTTTGGCAGGCATATATACATATGCAAAGATGGATGTGTTGCATTGCTATGCGGAGGACCAGTGCTAAGGAGTCCTCTACCAGTAAAAAAGATTGTCAAAATAAATGTGTTAGTCTTTAAGGTGACACAGGACTCCTTGGAAGGGGTTTTTTTGGAAAAAATATATAGGGTCTGAATTTCACTTGCACAAAAATAATTTTATACTGCTGGCAATGCAAAGAAACTTAAATGTAATCAATTAGTTTAAATGAAAACCAGGTCTATAGTATAGTAACTAAAACAGTAATTAAAAAACCATTCAGTTTTATCCACAACTACCAGGATTAGAACTGATTAACTTTTTTCATAATTAGATATTTTGAATTAGTTTTTTGTCAAGGTTTAACCATAATAAAACCACAAAAATCATAATTTTCCCCCTATTTTTCAATCAGCTGTAACCATAACAGCATTTTTAAGATCTGTTAGGCTTAATATTGTCAAATATCTTCACATACCAAGAAATGTTTTGAAATTATATTCCCAATGCAAAAGCACACAAGTTAAGGTAAGAAACGGGAAATTAGAAACTTCCCGTGCAGTGGAATGACACACACACACACAAGTCAAAGTGGGTATAATTTTCAAATATGTTTAAGTTTCACTGATAGTCAATAGGATTTTGGCATCTGAGTCATTTATGTACTTTAAAAAATTGTATCCAATATAAATTTGCTTCATTCTCTCTAGCATTGAAGCAAGATATTCTAACTCTTATATGTAGCACAGGTAAGACCAGCCCTTTAACATACAGTGTTGCACTTGGCAAACAAGACATTTAGAGACATGTTTAATGTCAAAGAAAAATAAAACCAAGCATCTCCTTCTCTTCCCTTTCTTCTAAGATCTATATTAAACACAGATTTATTTTAAAACATAAATAAAATGATGAAATGGCTGGGGAGTGTTGATATGAGGAAAAGTATGTACAATGTAGTTTAAACAACACACACACACACACACACACACTATAATAACTTTATCCCGTGCAATATATGAAGCATAGAAGAACAGAGAAAGGGTTGTTTGTCATAGCCTACCAGGGTATAGTAACAACTAATGGGATGATAACATACAAAGGAGGATTTGGGTTGAATATGCAGAAACGCCTCCCAGCAGTGGCCTCAATTCAGATAGTATCTCTACTTGGGAAAGGCAGTTAAGCATCAGGTTCAATCTGCAGAACGAGAAAGCCCAGTGCTTTTTTTGTGATGGTACTGCCTAGTGTGTAGTACCAGCACCTCCAGACGCAGTACCGGCATCTCCAGTAAGAGCTCAACAACTTTTCCCCTGGAGTACCGGCACTTTTTTTTTTTAAAACAAACAAAAAAAGTACTGAGAAAGCCCAATCATCTGAGTTGTTGAAATCTAGGTCCCGATGTTGCAATGACATCAGTGGGACTCTGTATGGGCACAATGGATTCCATTGTAGGATCAGGCCTAAAATCTGAGAATATACTAATATACTGAAGGAATTGATCCTGCACAGACTAAAGAATGTAAGGGGATAGAGAAGGGGTAACCTAAATATATGAGGGTTGTTCAGAAGATCAACAGGGCATTTCCATCTCTGACGTGTATGATTTTTATAGAAACAGAAATATGTCTGGACTCCACAAAAGGAAGATAAAGTGCCTGCCCTGTACAATTTACAGCCTACAATCTTAAAATTTTGGGATTACTCATGAAGTCATCTTTCAACTTTTTACTCTTTTAAAAGCAGTCCACATTGGTGTTCTGTTGTATGACATTAATATTGTGTTAAAGAACATAGAAACATAGTTACAGTAATCTCTGTTTTAACATTTTCCTTAGGGAGAGCTGTCACCTATCCCTTTTCTCTCTATTGTAGTCCCAAAGTAGAATTAAATGTCTTCTCTTCAACCAGTGCTTCTCAAGAAAATCTGTGTAGTCAAATTTTTCTGTGAACTACAAGGAAATGAAAGCCACCTGAACTGCTTGAACTGTGGTATGCAATGCACCACCATAACCTAACTATATCAGTGCATTTTGTAGTTGTCAGAATTACCACTGTTAGAAGCAACAAAAAATGATTTTGGGTGAAGTCTTTATCTTTCACTTAATTTCCACTGAAATAAATAACCTTTCTTTTGCAGAAAGAATGTTAGAAGTTGGTCTTGCTTGAGGTAATGTAAATACAGCATTCAAGTATCATGAGACTGAAGCACTTTCCTTCTTTAATAGTAAAGCTGAAAAAATCTGTCTATCTGGAAGAGAGGAAGCAAACATTCAGTTGCCTCATGTGATCAGCCTACCAATCTCTACTGACCTGACAAGAAGCTTACTCTGAGGTTGACTGCAAAGACAGCTGGCAGCAGCTATCTTTCCAGAGCTGATATGTGCTAAAAACTGGTCAGTCTGTGGGCAAATTTAAATAAAAAGGAACATTGAAATTAAACTAAAATAATGAGAACAATAGTATTTTTGTATTTCACTTTTTCTTCAGTCTTTCCCTCCCCCCCCCCCCCCCCCCCTCCTCATTACTACTTTCAAAAAACTGAGGGTCACATTTCTTATGATGCAAAAGCAGCGAGGAATCCTGTGGCACCTTATAGACTAACTGAAGTGTAGGAGCATAAGCTTTCGTGGGCAAAGACCCACTTCGTAGCTTATGCTCCTACACTTCAGTTAGTCTATAAGGTGCCACAGGACTCCTCGCCGCTTTTGCAGATTCAGACTAACACGGCTACCCCTCTGATTTCTTATGATGGCATTCGTTACCTTGTGACTACAGTGGACCCTGCTTCAAGTCTTTTTTAATGCTGAAACAATTCAGGATTGTCTTTCATTTGCTCAATATGTGGAGCTTGACTATATCTGATTTCACTGTAATAGGTTCCACTGTATTCCTTTGTTTTCATAAATATTTTAGAACTTTGCCTGTCTTTGATTAAACTCTATCAAAGGCAGGTTTCCTAGGAAGTGGCGGTTCTGCAAGGTAACAGGTGTACAATTCCTGATTCTCCTTTGACTCATGGGATCACCTCAAAAGCATGGCAAGCCAGCATGTTTCCTAACGTTTTAATTCAACATTCACAGGAGTGCCTCACTTCAGCATTTGTGAAACAAATCCATAAGGTTTCCAAAGCAACATACACCCAGGGCATTCAACTGAAGGAGGATGAGAGCTTGGGAAGCTGCCCCATCACAGCAATCTGCATTACTGACTCTGGCTGGTTTTGACACTAAGCACTTGGCTCAAAGAGTGTGAAATTAGTAGATTCATGTTGCTAGTGCCCTGTGAACAAATCATCACATCTCTGAAGAATGATTACCAGCTGCCACTGTATTTTCACCTTATGTATTCTCTACTGCAAACTTCACAGCAACAGCACATTCAGTCCTGATCCTTACATGGCTAATGACAACAGGATAGGAGCTTGGAGCAAAATGGGATGTGAACTGCACATTATCACTCATATTAGTAGTCATTCGGTGTTAAATATTACATGTGCCACGCACTTTAGATACCGATGCTCATATAAAATGAGTTTTCCCTCAGGTTCAGAAGATAACAAGTTGAAATTATTTATACAGTCAGGACTCTAAGACTTGGTGCTTTGCTGTTAATTCTATGTGAATAAAGGTATTTAAGTCAGCCATATGGATTACAAAGTTGTTCCGTTTAGGTCAGCAAAAGATCTGGGCATTTTCCTATTGATTCACATAGGGAATACCATGCTACAACAGGCTGTTGAGTACAATGTTGAGAACAATCAGGACAATCATAGATCAATGCATAAAACACACAGGCAGGAGATATAGAAACATTTTAAAACAGAAAGATAGGATTCGTCCATCTCAAGAAACATCATTCTTCCTTCCTAACCATAAAAGATCATGTAAAACAGCTACTTACTTCTTACATAGACACTTTCAAATTAGGGTTGCCAGATGATTGAAACAAAAATACCGAACGCCTCCTTCCCTCCTCCCCCCCCCCCAAAAAAAAACCCTGGGAAAAAATTCTGTTGAAGGGGAAAAAAGGGGGGAAACCAAAGTTGAGAAAAAAAAGGGACTCCAAGCAAGCCCCCAAAAATAAAATAAAACAGAATTAAAAGCATGTCCCCTTTAAGAGTGAGTGCAGGGATAGGAACAGGGGAGAAGTTGAGCACTGCTTCCCCTAGGTCTTTTGGCCGGCAGCCATTTTGCGCCAGCAGCCTTGAGGAACCAGGTAAGCATGGGGGTTGGGGTCATTGGGAGTGCGGGGGGGGGGGGGGGGGGGCGAGAAGCAAGGTGCTGTGCTTTGTAGGGTTGCCAGGTGCCCAGCATTTCCCCCTCGTGGCTGGGGAAAAATTCAGAAAATACCAGACATCTCAGGTGTCCAGTAGTCTCTGAATTTTTTTACCCGACAGGAGCCAAAAATACCGGACTGTCCAGGTGAATACCAGACACCTGGCAACCCTATAACACTAATTCAATTTTCAGTAACAAACAAAAATTACTGTGCCCTTGGAAATGCAAACTAATCACTTGTTGAAGGGAAAACAACAACATACCATGGTAGCTTATAGGTCTCCCAAGTAAGATCACCAACTCCCTCATTTGTCTACTCAAATAAGCATTTCAGTGTTTAAATGCCAAAATCATGACCCTCCACTCTTTCACACAAGTTTTATGCCAGCCTAAATTTGTTGTACAGTGTAAGGATATATGGAGAATCATGCCCCCTCTCTAGGTTTCCAGAGATGCCCATTGTCTGATGTGGATTTCAGGACGTTTGTAGGTTTAGGTAGCACAAACCCCAGTGCACAAAACACTTCTTCCCTGCTTCCTTCCCCCATTCCTTCTGTGGAAGAATGAATAGAAAACTGAGTTCGACATGTGGAATTTCTTTTCTCAGCATGTGTTCTCTCAAAGGGGAGCTTTAAATGTACTAGTATTGGGATATTTCTTTCCAGGGTTGCAAACAGGCTTATGATGCTGCTGAATATTATTGTTTGCACAAAGTATTTTAGATGACTGGCTGTGATGGTAAAATCTGGGGTGCAAAAGCCTGTGACAGCACCAGGGTGGTCAACTGCTGAAAATGATTGGCATGGTTGGCATTGGCATAGACTGTTTATTTCCTATATTTTAGTGACTAATCAACAGGGAGCCTGTGGGAGGCTGCTATGCCTCATCCCCACTCCCACCCCAGCCATGGGAGAGCCTGCAGTGGAGTGTATTATGTGCATACCCACCAAAAACTACTGCCATGCTGATGCTAGTGACCTTGAAGAAGAATTCAAAGCTTGGGGTGGAGAAGAGCTGCCCCCACCAGCCAGCAGCAGGCCAAAAGGAGTCCCTGCCAGGAGAATTCCTCTATCTGCCCCAGCCCTGACAATTGTGGACTCCCCAGAGCTGCTGGCTAATCTCAGCTTAAGTCTAGAAATCAGGCCTGACGAAGCAAGAACAGATTCTCGAAGAAATTTTGTCCTTTCCTAGTGCTGGGTGGGTCATGAAATAATGCAGAAATAGCCTCCTGCCCTATAACTTTCCAGTGCTTTTCTGTTCAGAGTCAAAGCCAGGAAGTACAAATCTAAAGAAAATAGAGATGTACTCACAGGGGATGTGAACATTTGTAAAGGAGGGTGTGATTCCTGAGCACTTTTGAAAGTCATAGCCATACCATTTACATGAAGTTAATATGTATACAAGATGTATAGGTCATTCATCCCAGTCTCCAAAATTTGCACTTAGGGCAGGGGTGGGGAACCTTTTTGGAGTCAGAGGCCCGTCACCCACAGAAAAATAGTCGGAGGCCTCACACAAATGAGAAGGGAAAATATCCCCAAAACAGCTCCCCTTACTGACAGGGCCCTGACTGAGAAAGAGAAAGGCACTCCCTACATTCCCCTCACACACCAGAACCTAGGGAAGCCAGGCTAGCAGATTTTGTGTGCTCTAGTACTGCGGGGGAAGGGGAGGGGGACTGGAGCATGCCAGCTCAGGATCCCCAATGCTGGGCATGCCCTGAGCCTTGGGGTCTGGATCCAGGCAAGCTGGGGGCCACATCTGGCCCCTACGCCTTAGGTTCCCCACCCCTGTCTTAGGGGGTAGTTAATTAAGGCTGAGGCAGCAAATAGTTAGTGAACAACATCACATAGTAAAAAGTTACAAGACCGAAGTAGTTCATAAAGGAATGGTCTCATCACACTATTCTCCTGAGCAGTCACCATTTTGTGTTACAAAAAAGAACTTGAACCTTGAGTTCTCAGTAAAGAATTTCACAGTGAAATGTGGCATATGGTGAGTGCGTGTGTGGATGTTGGAAGAGGGGATGGTGGCTCCATGGATTAGTCATTTGTCTTTCACCTCTGGAAGCAGAGTTTAAATTCTATCCTGACTAGAGTTGCACAGCATATTCCAGATGGCTAAAGAGGCCTTAATTAAAATGAGTTCAGTGATGTCACCTCAGATGTAAGTGAATCACATGCACCACTCATTTGGCATTTTGGCAGTGTCTGCTCACAAATAAAACAAACAGAGATTTAAATCCTCTCTTAAGTCTTTGGAGAGAGCTGTCACTCGACACAGAAATCCATGCTATGGATGTCTGGGAATGGAGTAAAAAACAAACAAAAAATTACCATTATAATTGTACTTACTTTGTTTTAATTCTAATTAATAAAATGTGGTTATACTAATATAGCCACAGATCTAAAGCTGGGGTAAATCAGCATCGTGCCACTGAAATCAAAGAACAGTATTACACTGATTTACACCAGCTGTGAATTTGGGTCATTGTAATAATGTTAAAATGTTTTCAACCAAGTGATTTTTTCCTTGGCCCAAGCTTTAAATAAAGCAATATAAACCACTGCACAAAGAAATAACAATACTTCATTTTTGTCTGAGCAACTCACTTTGTTCACAATATGTTTGCCTTCTCTGCTAGGTAGAAAATTGTTATTATCCAAGTTTTACCAATTGGGAAACTGACACAGAAAGAGGTAGTGATAGAAATGTAGCCGTGTTAGTCTGGGGTAGTTGAAGCAAAATGCAGGACAATGTAGCACTTTAAAGACTAACAAGATGGTTTATTAGATGATGAGCTTTCGTGGGCCAGACCCACTTCCTCAGATCAAATAGTGGAAGAAAGTAGTCACAACCATATATACCAAAGGATACAATTTAAAAAAAAAAAAAAATGAACAAATATGAAAAGGACAAATCACATTGCAGAACAGAAGGGGGATGCGGGGGGGTGGGAAGGGGGAGGAAGGAAGGTAAGTGTCTGTGAATTGCTGATATTAAAGGTAGGGAGAGTGGGATGTTTGTGAGTTAATGGTATTACAGGTGATAATTGGGGAAACTGTCTTGGTAATGGGTGAGAAAGTTCAAAGACTTGTTAAGTCCTTGTTGGTAAGTGTCGAATTTTAACATGAATGACAGTTCAGAGGATTCCCTTTCAA